CCCGGCCCAGGAGCTGGTTCGGCCCCTGCGCGTCCACCAAACTCCCTCTCTGCTCCTAGAAACCGTCCGGAAGGCAAAGTGCTGGAGACCGTGGGGGTGTTTGAGGCACCAAAGCAGCACGGCAAATACGAGACGGGTCAGGTAAGCGGTTCTGGGGAGCGGAGCTGACCCTGCAGGTTTGTTCCACAGAGATCAGGTAGCTGAGTGATTTACTCGCAAGGAGGCTGCTGCATTGTAGCAGAAGGCCAGGAGTTTCACAGTTCAGTGCTCCTTGTCCCTGCTGTGTCTGCAGTTTGTCAGTCATCTGACAGTAGCAAGTTGATAAGAATCTGCAGCATGACACAACTGTTCCTACAATGGCATTTGCTCCACTGGTCTTATTTAAGGGTTTTCTCCCTCTAGGAGCAAAAGAGACAATCACTGAATTTGAGACATAACAACTAAACTTGTCCTTTCTGTGCTTGTGACTCACAGATCTGTGTCTGTGTTCCTGAGCAGTCTCTCCCATGCTGGTCTCCTTTCTGCACTTCTGCCATTCTGTTACTTTATTACTGGTTTAGTCATTCACTTGTATGGGGTAGAGATGACATGAATTTCTTCTCTCATCCCAGACTGTTTATGTTCCCTCTTTGTTTTTGCTCTGGGTTCGCAGAGTGGTGATTCTCCCTGTATTCCCGTCCCAAGCATTCATACTCTTTGTAAACGTTTCTAGTTTTACCTCAGTTAACAGATTTTTTTAAAATACTGTCAGAAAAGGGCTTTTGGCTTCGTGTTTTCTGTTGTATCTAAGTTGACTAAAGCTTGCTGTGTATTCCAATGCAATTATTTGTCCCTTTCAGCTATTTCTTCACAGCGTGTTTGGCTATCGAGGAATAGTCCTGTTTCCCTGGCAAGCCAGGCTTTATGATCGAGATGTGGCTTCTCCTGTCACAGAAAAGTAAGGATTTGTTCTGGTTTATATGTTGTTGTACTGTTACAGTTACATTTTGTAGCGAGTTTCCTGGTTGGGGTAAACAAGTCTTTTTAAGGAGGACAATGGTATGGGTCTGTTTTGCATGAATGTAAACTAGAAGAGAGGTGCTTAAAGAAGAGAGACACATACACACACACATTGCACGAGTATTAATTTTGTGTTAATCAGAGACAGGATGGCAGTATGAAGGATGAGAGTGTGTGTGTGTGTGAAGGAAATTAAAAAAAACCCAAACAAACCATGCTCCTGGCATTCTTTGTTACAAAAAACCCCCTTTGTGTTGCTTTTTGAGTTAGGTCTAGGCTCCTGTGTTAAAATTGCAGGCTACTTCTGTAGATTGCCAGTGAGCTGGATTTGTCAGCTGCCTCCCCAGTTTCAACCCACGAGGCCAAGTTCATCCTTCTTGTGGACTGAGTCGCTGTTCACTTCTCTCCCCTCTTCCATCCGTTTCCCCCCGGCCTGTGTTGGAGGTGTGCCGGGCGAGTGTGCGTTCGGAGTCGGGAAGGAATGAGGAGTAAGCAGAGAGAGAATCAGAGGGCAGTAGAAATACCCATCCCAAACAGGAGACTGGACTGAGCAGGAAGAACTTCTGAGTCATCTGAAAACAGAGCTGTTGCGCCCATGATAAACACCGTTGATTGCCGTCTCGGCTCGTCTATCGTCGTGTGGGTGGCTGACATGAGTTTAATTTGGATGGAATCGAATGATTACAGACTGTGAAACATATTTTTAAAAAAAAATCATTGTTTATGAATGTGCTTGGTCCTGGTAACAACAGTTTGCTGCCATCCTGCGCTTGAGCTCAGTGCTCTGCTTTTCTTTTTAGAAGTGAGAACGCGGCAGGCCATGGTTCCAAAGAGGTCAAGGGCAAAACGCATACTTACTATCAGGTGCTAATAGATGCCCGGGATTGTCCACATATAGTAAGTAACCAATAATCTTGGTACTGAAACTCAAATATCTTCTCTTATATGAATGCTTTAGATGGACAGGCACTGAAAGAAAACGGCTATTATGGCTAACTCAATTGTTTAGAATTTTAGGACAAATTTGTTCCTCAAGTCATATTTTCCCTGAGAAAGATAATCTGGAACATCATACGACTGTTTTCTGGATTGTGTTTCCCCGTTCCAACCTCACTTCCTCATCCTGTTGGCATTCCTACTCTGTTGCATACAGGTCATTATGAATGTGGGTTGCAGCACTGAAAATGCTCTTCACTTGTTTGAGTGGAGAATTAATCTAGAGGAATTAAAAGGAGAGATGTTCTGAGGTGAATTGGTTAAATAAAATAAACGTTACACACTTTAGAAATCACAATAGTAAACTGAAATGTGGCTGGAAACTGGCCCGCAACAATCCACACAGAAAGACATAAACCTCCCTTTTTCTCAGTCCCAGAGATCACAGACAGAAGCAGTGACGTTCCTGGCAAACCACGATGACAGCAGAGCCCTCTATGCCATACCAGGTGAGTAAAATGCCCCTGTAACCTCTGTGGAGATGTGGATTGTCATGAGGTGAGGTCAGAAGAGTCACCCACAGTCAGCTTCTGCCAGCGAAGCAGCAGTTCCTGCAGGATGTTCCTGTAATGGATCTGTCTGTCGTTTAGGGCCGTGCTAGAAACAACAGAATGACTGAAGTACATGAAGCCCTTTTGGGTAGATGGAATTTGGGCAGACTCTGATCCAGACACAATCATACCTACCTTGTGCTCTTGAGACATGGATCCCATACGCATACCCTGTTGCACATGGGCTATTCTACTTTATTACCAGGACAGCTAGATCTCCTCTTGTCCTGTGCATTTCCTGCCCAAAGTCCTTTTGTGACAGTGCAGTCGCTTCCCAAGCAGCGTGTCTTTATCAGAGAAACCATGCTATGGAGAATCTCGCAGGAGAATGCTGCCAAGGGTTATTACTGGCCTGTTTCCTCCATTCTTGCGTGCAATTTTGGCTGCTGCTGCTGAAATCCTTTTCATAACATCTCAGTAGTGCGATCCATCTTTCTGTCAGGAGATTTCTGAGCTGCTCTTTGCTAGGGAAGTTCAATGGCTTTTGGGGTTTCTTTTTCAGGTTTAGACTATGTAAGCCATGAAGATATCCTTCCCTACAGCTCCACTGATCAAGTGCCCATCCAGCATGAGCTCTTTGAGAGGTTTCTCATGTACGACCAAACAAAAGGTAATACTTGGCTTCGGAGGGAAATCTTCAAAGCCAGATACTCGAGGTATTCTGTGACAAGTATCCAGAACCCACCATTGCGCATACAGTGTAAAAATCTTGGCCTGGTTTGGGGTTTGTTACAGTAAAGCCTCCTTTAAATAATTTTTGTAACTATGTGAAAGGAGTTGCTTTGAGGGGAAAGCACTCTGGTTACGGTATGCCTGTCCTCATAAACTCTCATCTTTCCCTCCCCACAGTTCCACCTTTTGTAGCAAGGGATACACTGTGTGCATGGCAGGAGAAGAACCATCCCTGGCTAGAGCTCTCTGATGTGCACCGAGAAACCACAGAGAACATCCGCGTCACAGTCATCCCTTTCTATATGGGCATGAGGGTAGGTCTGTGTTGCACGTTGCTGTGTTAGCTCTGTGATCTGTTTAACTTGCATGTTTTTCTAAGGCCAGTTTACTGACTGAAAGTACTTTTCTGCTTACTGGAGAAATGACTTTTTAATCACAGTTGCGATTTCATTGTCATCACATTCAGCAGAGGTATGAACATGAAACTGTTTTGTCATACATTTTTGGAGAACAGCTCCTGCAACTTATCTTTTGCTTGTTATTTGTAGGATAGGAAATACACTGTACTGTTCTGCAGAACAGTGTTAGCAAGATATTGAGGAAGATTTTTAGGAAGGCTTGTGCAATGCTTATTGCCTCAGTCCCAGATGGGCGTGTGTGTAATGGGTGGCACCAAGGCCATCTGCCCTGTGATGACAGACATGTCTG